GATAGACCATGGCGACTTGTCGTGAACGATAAACATATATTAGCAATTGCAAGTGCAAGTGCATCCCGTCCAAGAAAAACTGGATGAATCATCCCTAATGCAGAAACATAAAACTTATGAGTAATCAATGTGCCCGCTATAGAAAGAGTAAGAACAGCCGATCCCAGTGTACGGAAGCCCTGCCTCGTGGCCGTGGTACACTGAGGAGTATCCGCTGAATTAAGAGATACAGAGACAGGCAGCCTAGCCAAGGTATCGGAATCGATCAAAGAGATACTAGAGCCACTATCAATAAGGGCACGAGTTTGTAGCTTAAATCCTTTGACGACTAAGTCAACAGGCAACGTACACGAGTCCGATATAACTCTGGTCTCATCACCCATTCCAAGAGCAACGGCTTGAGTTTCAGGCCTACATGATGATGGAGCCGCAGCATCATCACGGCCTTCTAGTTTCCCTGCGCAAGTCGGGACTTGAGCGCCAGTGCCTTCTTCTTAGTCTGGCACTGCTCCTCTGTGTGATTCTTGCGCAAACAATAACCACAAGTGACTCCCATCGTACGAGGATAGCTTCCACGTACAGCCTCATCGCACTTCTCATCTTGCACATCTTGTCGGGAGCGTTTCTGTACCGGACCATAACCTTTATCTCGTTGCTTCTTGAAGCAGTGAGCTTCGAGATGACCAACTTTACCACAATAGTTACATTTACGATCATCTCGACGTAGGGCACTGATGAGTGTTGGGACCCAACTAGGCATACCAGTGGTCTCCCCCTGAGCGGGAGATGTCAAACTAGAAGCAGGCTTCTCTGAAAGCGAGTTCGAATCGATTCGACTCGAACTGTTCGATATAGCTCCATCAGTAGCATAAACACCACAAGCTCCGCTTCATAAGTTCCACGCTTGACAGCCATCAACTCACTCTCATGAGACACATCACCATCCTCAAAAGGATCCGACAACAAAAAATGAGCTTTCTCAAGTGCGAGTTGAAGAGTCTTCGGATTTGCATTCCTAACCTTTCGGGCAAGCGACATCGAATGTCCTCTTAACCCTCGGATAAAAGCAGTAAGAATAATAGGGGCAACTTGGTCAGCGGTCATGTCGGGGTAGGCTCGATGCGCTAACCTCTTTATATCATTCTGATATGTGAGTAGAGACTCACTACCAGAATCCAAAGTTCGACGATACAACTGCTCGCTGCTCTGCATCCGGGTAGCAATATTCAACTTGTGGGAGAGATTCTTAACCAGGCTGACCATCGTATCCTTCTCATTGGATTTGAGCTCATCATAAACAATCCATGCATCACCTCGGAGTAGTGGTGGTAGGTGCTTCAACTGGTCGTCGTCTTCCCACTTGTTAGCAGTTGCACACGCCTTGAACTTCCGCACCCATTGCTCGAAGTCCAAAGGACTTATCAGAGGGTCGAAGCTCTCAGGTAAGGCAAAATACAGGCTCGGGTCCATGGACAAGGAGCTGCTACTCTGGAATATCAACTCAACACGGATGATATCCGTATTATGTAGGAGATAGGAAGAGAATAGTTTTGGATGTATTAGTAGAGAAATTACAGCTTAGCTTAGTAGTGGGAC